TGTGACACTACGGACTGTAGCATCCAGGCTTCTCTGTCCATGGAAGAAAACCTCTTAAAGCTTGAAAGAAATGATGGATTCTCTTTGGAGAAAGTAAAGCAGGTTCCCTTTCATAACAAAGTCTTAAAAAATCTCAAATCATCAATGTCAAAATTTTCATTTTGTTACCTTCATAAAAACACAGCAAACACTTAAGGGTCCACCGTAGGACTGTCTAAACATTATTAATGAAAGTTTAGTATAATCCATATGAAATTGAATGAAGAATCTTTAATATTTAATGAAAAATATTCAATAAATATTTATCAAATATTCAGGTGTTTAAAAATGTCTCTCTTCATGATGCAAGTTGAGCATAAACTATTTTGTCAAAGTTTTAATATTGTCAAAGTTTAATATTTGACATTAATATTCACTATAATATTCAGAATCATAGTATATTTTCTAGTTCCCAATAAATTTCTTAAATTTTAAGAAAATAATATAAAGGAAACAGGATATAATTAATGGAAAACATATATACAAATGTACATATACTAAAGAATATAAGCTATGCTTTGAGAATGTCAAAATGTGGCTGTTTCACATTTGAGAGCTATAGACAAACTATATACTGTAAATGATAAACTATAATGCTAACTTGAAAAAGAGGCATCTTACATATGCATCATAACATAGGGCTTTGTTAATTAGGCCCCATCCCCTGTACATTTTGAGCTCCAGATTCCTGCATTCAACTGCCTATTTTACTACTTAAACTGGATGTCTAACATGCCAAATTTAAATGTCCAAAAGACATTTAATTTTCACTTCTTGAATCTCAGTTTTTCTCATCTCGACAAATAGTTCACAATTTGCCTAGACATTTGAACTGCAACCCTGGGACAGACTCTTCCTTAATTCTATCCATTTCTTCACTCTTCACTCCCTATTCCTGAACTAATAGGAATCTTATTATCTTGTTATCTTTCCTTCAAAATTGATTCCTGAATTGGTATATTTTCCAGTTTACCTTCATCTTTTTGCAAATACTCTGAAGGGTACAAAATCCAAATTTGACCTCCAGGGTCTACTGAGCCTCGTAAGATCTGGTCCATGGATGGCCCAGCCACAGTTTCCATCTCATTAAACACTCAGTAATGTGTCCTCTGTGGGCTGCGTTGTTTTCAGTTTATTCCATCATGACTGCAGTCCCCTAGCTTTGCCATGGCAGTAGCCCACCCACACCATCATGATGATTCCTCAGCTCACAGGTTACCATGTCAGTGAAGCCTTCCCTGACTGCTCAATCTAATTAGCAATGCCTCACTCCTACCACTCATTGGTCTCCATCACCTCAAAAGGTTTTGTTTCTTCATAATATTAATCATTATCTGTGATCACTTTTGTAATACTGGAGTGGGTTGCCATTTCCTCCTCCAAGGGATCTTCCTGACCCAGGGATTGAACCTGAGTGTCTCTTGTGTCTCTTGTATTGGCAGGCAGATTCTTTATACTGTGCCACCTGAGAAGCCCTAATATTAAGCAAATATAGAGGTAGATCTAATGATAAAATGTATGATGGCCTTCAGTAATGTAGAAAATATGTAAGATTGGAAGATGGGGAAAGAGCTGCTTTTCTAGTCTCAGGGGAAGAGGATAATTTCCCTAACACTCCATGACCAAGAGGAGCGAGTACCTCAGCTATTTTTTTTAGATTTTCTTTAAGAACAGTGCTGCTGCCAGCAGTCTGAGGCACATCCAAATGTTTATGCCAAAGGAAATTTTGTAACTGAAGTTTTCAAAAAGAGAAAAATGATGGGGTTGAGTCAGGGGGTGGATAAGTGCTTCCAGCTAAGGACAGCCAACTCTAGGAGGTTTCTATACAACTACATACAAACACTCAACTCAGACTGTGGCTTCTGCCTTCAGGTAAATGTCCAGAATATATTACTTACCCTGCGATTGACAACAACTCTAGATATAGAGAATACGTGGCTTTGCTTTCTTTTAAATATGCCTATTAAATATCTATGGGGCTTAAAACCACGTCTCAGGAGACACGCAATTTACTTTCTCTGAGGGTGTGTGGACTGTGCCACTTATTAACTCTATGGTCTTACTTGAACCCACTGCTACGCTGGCTGCACACACTCACTGCCACTTCCTTTCAGGGTAAGTCCATTGAAAGGAATGAACATTGGTCAGCAAGAGGACAAGATCCCCTTGAAGGGATAAGATGTCATAACAAAATGACTTTCTTCTGTTCCCAATCTTTAATGCCAAGAACTGTTTGTACTCTTTCTGTGAGAAATCAACAAAGAAGATTAGGTAATACAATGTATCTCTGTTCAAAAAAAAAATCATTATGTTTTCCTTTCGGCAAATATGTTTATTTCCCTCTCTCCTCATCAACTTGTCTTTAGGTAAGTGCTTAGAGATTATTTCACAAACACGAGTCTTTCCTCAAAGAACTTTAAGAATTAAAATAATTAACTAAAAGCAACCAGGAGTTCTGCTTTCAATTCAGTTCTCTCAAATTTTCTGCAGCTACAGTATTTCCCCCAAATCAGTGCATTACAAGTTTAGGGAAGAGAAAAGAATATTTCGCCTCACTTAAAAACATCAAAGGAAAATACCTTGAGAAAAGGCTTATAGCAAATACAACAAACTGTTAATTCCTTTATTTTATGAAATGGGAGCTCAAATGAATAAGATAAAACATGTGCCAAAGAGATAAATAAGTAAAAGAGGTATTTTAAAAGGGAAATACAGTTAAAAAAAACTACCCCATCTTGCCAGTAATCTTAACAAAGAAATTAAAAATATGTTAGCTTCTAGTCTATAAAATTAGAACTCTTTTCCTCATTTTTTTTTAAAGAAACAACATTCTTTGTTCAAACAATATTACTACAAAACCCAAGCAAGTTGGGTTTCAGCCACGATATCTGAAAGAGTGAGCCAGGGAGACTGGTCTTTTCTCCTTGTTCTCCATCCTACAGGGACTTTTGAAGAAACTTACAAAGCATAACATATTTTTAAGTGCTACCCACGTAAATAAAATGTAAGCGTTACTAACAACAACAATGACAAAAACAACTAGCGTCTAGTTTTCTGTGAAGGACACTGGAAGACCATTATTTTTAATACCACTCATTATCAATAAGAGACTGTACAGTGGGCATACTCCAAATTGTCAATGATATTCTAAATCACATCTACCACTCTGAACGGCAATCTGGAAACATGCCATAAAAATCACCAAAATGTCCATGCTCTTTGACCATCTTCACTTCTGAGGCCCTACAGTGACTATGTTCCATGAAGATACTAAATATAGCATCATTTAAGATGGCAAAACTTATAGAAAAAAACGGATGAACATATCCAACCATTTAATAAAGACTTACAGAGCAAATGATCTTGCAAAATTTCATGTTGCTAATAAAGGATGAGAGGAAATAGGAATGGCTGGGGCCAAGGTCTAGAAAGGCTATGAAGAAGTTTGTTAGGTAGTGCTTATGATGCCCTGCACTGAAAAAGCCTTTCATTTTTCTGGATGACATTAATTCCTCAAATAGTTCAGGTATCACATCATCAAAAAATACAATAAGCTCTGCAAGAAGAAATAAATCAGTCTGTAGCACTATAATTATTCTACTGGGAATCTTCAGGTAAGACCACAATTCTGATACTGGCAAACTCTCCTAGAGAAGAATAAAAGTCAAAAAGCTGAAACATTTTTATGAGACTCCTTGTCTAAGCTATGAATGTGGGGAATCCATAGGGATTTGAAGCACTCTTGACCAAACAAAAGGGTAGGATGGCCTCTCCTACAAGGAGGCAGGTCAGGAGTCAGATGGGAGGTCTCACGATGGTAAACTCCAAGCTTAAATTGACAAGCATTTTTGTAAACAAGATTCTCCAGTTTTAGATTCTACTCTGTATTATCTCTCCTGTGTAATTCTGTATCTTTAATATGGTCTTATTTAAATGCCTCCAGTCTAACCTCAGCTGTGCTGTGGGTAAGGAAGGATTACATGTCCATATTTTAGCTGCCAGAGAAGGCATTCCAGTCTACCATCCATGTCTTAAGCCAGGGTGAAGATGGGAAGAGGTAATGAGTGAGAGATGTCTTAGAAAACTGTTTCTCTCAAAGGTCAAGGGCAGGTCATCAGTCAGGCTCTGTTGCTCCACCTTGCATAGGGAGGCATCCTCTATTAGCACCCTTCAGGGGGCTGGTGTAGATTTGATTACAGACAGTCCCTTCTTGTAGCCTCAAGTATGTTTAGATCATCAGATAGCTGAAAAATAAGCACCTTGAAACACAAATGAGACCAGGAAAAGGACAATAACTCCTGAGGGCAAAAAAGCAAGCCAACTAACATAAAACAGCCTTCAGGCTTATGCAACTGTCCCACCCTGTCTGGTTTCAGAAGGGGTGATTTATCAAAAGGTCATGAAAATGACCACCTTAGTGGGAAGATAAGTGCAAAGTGCAAAGCAACACTTCTTTTTAAGTTTACAGCAAAACCAAAGAAATATTCTAATGTAATCACTTGTTCAAAAGAAAAAAAAAAAGAAAAACAAGTATAATCACTGTCATTAGTTTCTGTGTTTTTGTAAAAGACCAACATTTTAAAAGATAATCTAATTCAACCCTTGGAATAACTGCTCTCTGTAAACAGAAAATATTTCATAATCAGATGCATGCTATGTTTACAGAAATTTTTTTTGTTGTTTACAGAAATTTTAATCAGTATAAGCATGAAATGGACCAGATTGAGAGTCTCTCTTCCCTTGCCTCAATGAAAAGCACATTAGTACATTCGTAAGTAGCTCTTCTTTTATTTTCTTTGATTGTTTCATATTTATTTTAATTTGGGGTTTTGCATATATCCTTGTAAGTCAGTTAAACTATGTTCTGGAAAACAATGGAGTATAAGCAAATAAAAATTATTATCTCTCAATACATTTTCTTTCTGAAATTACTTTTTCTCTCCAGCAAAGATTACTCTTACCTTAGGTTGTTTGCAAAGGTAGCGACAAAGTTCTCCAATATACTGGAACACGGTCACATTATACTTCCTGCAGTCATTCCAAAACTGGCTTGCTGAGAATTTTTTCCTTAACACACAAGTGGCACCTATGAGAAAAGGCATAAAAAGGCACAAGGGAAAAAATTCAAGGGCAGAGTTAACATAAAACACAAATGATGTTGCTCTGCCCAGAAGAGTTTTGCTCACTTTCAAGGCTTTTATAATCTATCAGCAGCCATTTATACCAAGCTCATTTGAAAACATTAATCTTACAGTCGAATAAGTCTTTTAAAAATATTCATGCTGTAAAAAAAAAAAAAAAAAAAAAAGATACACTATGGTTGTGATAAAAAATAAATAAATAAATAAATATTAAAAAAAATGTAAAAAAAAAATATTCATGCTGTAATTCTATATTTTGACTGTAGGTATGCTTCTTACAATACATGGGATGAAAGAAGCACTCAAAATAAATAGGACAGTGATAAGTAGTAGAGAGTGAATATAGATAAAGGTCATCCTTCTTCACAGAGACCAAGAATATTCACTTACTTCTGACCTTGAATACTTACATAGTATTTATTTTAAAAAATTTTAAAGCAGCCTCAATATATTTTGAGGTTGAGTTAGCAAGGCAGAATTAGTAAGAAAGCACCAACAAAAAGGTTCATTGATGACTGCAGAACCTAATTTTAACAACCTAATTTTAATAACAATTTTAAGTCATAGGAATATGTTCCAAGGAAAATGCTAATGTCTCGACCTTCATCTTTATTTACTGTAGACATTTATCACATTCTAAACATACCATTCTATAACATTACTTTATAGTATTTTAGATATATATATATATATATATATATATATATATACAATATATATATATATATATACATATAAATCATGGTAAGTGATCTCTAAATATTATTTCTGAGTGAGCTAGTAACAGACACATAATCTCAGCATGATTATCAATGGAATCTACTGAGTTGTAAGTCCCACCAAATGACTTCTTGGGTATCTGGAGTACAATGTCTGCAAAGATTGCCTCAATAACTCCTCCTCTGCACTTACCTTTACAATGTGGATTTGACACCCTTTCTTTCAAGAAGTGGGGTCTATTTCCCCACTCGTCAAATCTTGATTCTGAGCTGGCTTGTGACTTGCTTTGATCAGCAAAATGCAGATAAAATGATCCACGTGACTTCCAAAGCTAAAACTTAAGAGATACTAGGCTTCTGATTGGGAAAGCTCCTACCTCCACTTAAGGAGGCAGGGCTTGGCCACTAAACAGTGAGTGATCACATGGAGAAGGAGGTCCTATCAATAGCCAGTTCAAACCACAAGGCCAAATTCCCAGGGCACTGCTCTTTCCACTTCAGACATACACTGAAGTGGGTGATGAAGCTGTGGCCTTTTAGTAAACATTTTATAATTGTATAACATGCACACAATTACTCTGAATTCTACAAACAGCATTTCAAACTTTAATGAAGACAAGTTCTAATTATTAGACATTGTGAAAACTTATTCAGACAATAAAAGCGTACCTAATTCAATACATCCACCAATTCCCAGAAGAGATGCTGCACTATGATACAGAGGAAGAGTTATATAAATGATGTCATCAGAAGTACAACCAAAAGCCCATAATCCAGTAGAACTCTTTGTAGCTGCCAGATGACAAATCACAGCTGCTTTTGGTAGACCTGGAAGAAAAGGGAAAAAAAAAATGTAACAGAAAAGATACTGTGTTGGTATCAACTACAACAGCAACTGAGGCAAAAATACATCAAAATAGTCTATATGCTTGGTAAAAAGGGCCATGCAAATGCCGGCTGTGACTCAAATTAATCTCTAGAATCTTGGATCTACCCAGAGGATTAAAACTATAAAATTATATAAGAGTTTTGAAATCTAGGAAGCTTCAAAGAGCCATATTTGCTATAAAAATGCCCCCAATACACAGCTTTTTCTCTGGTTCTACCTACTTACTGAATAAAACTAAAGTTGTCATGGGATTTTTAGTGAGAGCAGCGCCTGTGACTGCAAACCCCAGTCTACACTGACTTCCAGACACTCCTCCAGAGTGAGCTTCGTGTCTGCATAGTTGCTGCACCTGCTTCGACATTTTCTGATAGGCTTTGGGCTTCAGTTTCACCAACTGGAAGAGACTTGATCTTGTACACAAAATTTGCATGGTCTTGCCTACAATCCTAACTAAAATTCATTTATTAAGCTATCTCAAAAGAAATTTCTGTGGCTCTTTCTGATAGCTAGGCATCTCACAACCTGAAAGAGTTTATTGTCCTCCACATGGATAGAGGATCCTCCAAAGTTTCTTGTCAAAGCCATTATAAAGATTTTCAGTGAGACTAGCATCCCTGATTCTTGATACTGTAATTGCTTTTCTCATCTTCATCCGGAGAACCAAATATTTATGCATTTTCTGCCTCTGCGAAGTTCCTACCTGCTGTTCTTCAGTTATCATATTCCCTACTTTCCATATTGTTCCTGATCTCATGGCAACCCAGCTTTAAAAATAATTTTTCAGTTGGAGGTGTGTCAAAAAATGAAGGATGCTTTATCTAGTTATCTTTCACCTGTGTGCTTCTGTCACTCCGGTTAAGCACTTTAGTAACAAACAAACTACTCACGTTTTGGTTCCTAATTTGGTTAGTTTTAAGTGAATAATGACCTCATTAACTTATTATAAAAGTTATTATAAATTATTTAAGGTACTCAGACTTTTTGATAAAGGAGACAACAGATAGGAGCTTATCCAACAATGAAAGTGATCAAAGGTTCATGCAGCTTAAAGTTTTAAAGAAAGAAGAACCAACAGAATAAATAAGCTTGTTAAAACTGCAACTTAAGAGTCTCTCTTGGAAGACTTGGTTCATTACCATACTAAAGCCTCTGAGGGGCCCAAATGTACAAAAATGTTACTGTTTTTTTCAGTGGTGTTTCTCAAAGCCCTGTGGTCATAAAACACCAAGTTTTTCCTTTGTAGACATGAAGGGGTATGGGTGGCACAAGCTTGGGAAAATGCTACCTTAGGTGGTCTCTGAAACCCTCTGCTTTTCAAACCTTCTGTGGCTCCCTGGCATTAAGACTCTCCACACGTCCACAGATGTGGGGAGACCAATGTGATGAGGTCCAAGCATAAAGGTGGGAGTGAGGTTCTGTCCAGTGAATTGGGGATTAGCAGGAAGAAGAGATGCTATTAAGAGAAAACCAATTTATGGGTAGGGATGGAAAAAATCTTGGGAATTTGGGGATAATTTTGGAAAAGGGAAAGAATCCCTAATACTAAGCAGACAAGACAAAAGGAAATAAACTTAATGGTGATTGCAACTGGTCCCAGTGCAGCCTGGAAGGCAGTTCCATCTTTTTTCTCCTTCCATTGCTTGCAGCAGTGACTGACCACAAGGCTGCCATTTCCAGGGTTAAAAAGCCTTTCCTGGAGATCTTGTGGCACCTAGCCAAACTCAACAAGCCACCTCAGAAGTGGATAAGGGCAGACTGAATACATACATGGACCTTCAAGGCCAAAAAGAATGGAACTGGAGGTGACCGCAACACGACTTTAGAAAGGCAGGTGGACAACTGACACAGCCTTGGAGAAAGTTGATTTGCTCCCACAAAATCCCAGCAAGGCTCAGAAACTTGGAGACTAGGTACCTCCCAGAGTGGAGTATCAATATGGAACTGTAAAGAGGGAGCTAAATGGGAGTTCTGTTTAAGAAGCAATTCCACCAGTCATAAATAAGGGAAGCCTCTCTTGTTCATCAAGATCTCACAGAATCTCCCAGGTCAAAGATTCATGAATGGTATAAAAATTGACCTCAGTCCTTTCCTTACTCAGAGACATTCTAAGTTTGTCCCTAGGTCGATGGATATATTTTGGTGAGCTTCACATTAGTAGAATAATTAGGAAAGGTTTGATGTCATTCAAAGAACTCCCATACAACCCGCTTGAAAGGGCCTGTGAGTGGACTCTGCTCCCATCATTTTAAACTTTTCTAAGTCTCACTTCTTTACATCACTCCCTAACTTGTATCAACACTTACTTCATTATCAACATTGTAAGATTTTTTGTTTGAGAAAATCTGCTTGATTTTTATGCTAATAGGCAACCCTAATATAAATTCTCATGATCATTACAACTACTATCACTTAATTCAGCTCTGGGTTTCTAGCTGCAAAACATCAGCTTAGAGAGAGAGAGAGAGAGAAAGAGAGAGAGAGAGATGCTTTTAATAAGAAACATCAATTCAATCTTTAATGAGGTTCAGTGTGAGACAGGCTGGGATCTGGGGCCTGTGACCCTTTTCGTGGGCTGCCTGCACCTCAAGTGACAGAATAGAAGAAACTATAAGGGACTAAATATAACTGCATGCATGTACAGTTGAGGCAATTATGAAAAACATTCAAAAGGGGCACAAATCAACTGCCATTTCTGAGGTGCCAGGAGCAAAAGGAGGTTACTGTACATGACGCCTGTAAACAGCACCTCCAAGAGGGTGGGCAGACCACTTAAGCCACCCCTCCAGCCCCACCCACCAATCCACCCCTACCCTCACCCCATTTTAGGAACCAGCCAGCCCTCCCTAGTCAGGGAGCCAGCAGGAGTGCTTGTCACTTGTTTTCACTTCTCTGTTCTGTGGCATGAGTCCCAATCAAGCCTTGCCCGAATTCCTCATCTGATCCCTTTCCATTTTCTATTGATTAAAGAGTCCAAGGACCCTAGTCTGTAGCAAATGTGATTTTGCTACATTTTCTGAGAGTCTTGTATTTATAAAGCATGACATCTACTGTATGCCCAATTCTGTATGTTGCTTTGCTCTCTATAAGACCTCAAGTTGCTTAGCACTTTAAGCTAAAGAGAGATGATATTTGTGTAACCTTTCCTGTACAGGATCATTCACAATCCAAATTTGAAAGAATGCCAATAAATGCTTTTGACATTTTAAAATGTAAAAAATAAAATGAAATTATAGCACCAGATTGCTTCCCCCACAATGGTAAAGATCTGATATGTATTCTCTGGAAAAAGATGAGCCTCTGGAGACACTAGGAAGAAGACAGACTGAACATATCGTGGGAATAAGAGAAAGTGGGCATCCTCCTCCAGCTCCCTTTTTACAGGTTACTAGTTTTCCCTTTAAGATTCTGGTCTGAGGAATCTAAAGCACCTAGAAGTAAAACTGGTAGTCATGAATCTGCCAACAAAATGTCCTGGACACTGAAACTAACCAGCTCACAATCCTGCTCGGTCACACAGAGCTTTTAGTTAGGATTTTGTTTGTTTTGGTGTGTGTGTTTTGGTGGCTACACTTTAAACATGAGCAGCCAAAGGTCAACAGATATTTGAGGAAATCCTCTAGAGTAAAGAACAGAGGCCACTGTAAAATAAAAGGTAAAAGGGCATTAGAGAAAATAGAGACAAAGTAGAGAGGAGAAATTTTTTTAAAAATATTAATATTCTGAGAGGTATGAGACAATGAAGTATCAATAATACAAAAATAACATGCTATAAAATGAGAAATATTCAGAGAACATAGGGTGAAAATATAAATCTCTCAAAAAGTAAACCAAAAGGTAAGAGAAGGCAAATAGGATAGAAAAGATTAGAAAATTAATAACAGTTCAAGGAGGCCAAGCTTTAAAAAGTTAGAGACCCAAAGATAAAAGAATGAGCAAACAAACAAAATAATAGAAGGAGAGAATGGTCAGGAAAAAAATAGAAATAAAGAGAATATGCAGACATCTTTAAAAAAAATTTCGAGTACCTAGACTTGCAAGACATGAGTTTCTAGATTTAAAAGGCTGAAAGATTTATCAGCAAAATGGATAAGTAAGACTAGTCCCAGTACAAATAATCCTGAAATCATAGACTACTGAAGGCTCATGAAATTCTAAAAGTTCCTCCCCCTTGCTTCCACTTTCCCTCACCAAAAGAAAGAAAAACACCACCAGGTTGACATAAAGGACACGAAAGCAGAAAAAAAAAAAAAAAAAAAGACTTCTCAATACATATACTGGAAGATAGAAGGTAAAAAAGCAATGCATTCAAATCCCTGCACCAGTATCATTTCTTACCTAGAATTCTATATAAGGGTAAGGGTAGAAACAGAAAGACATTCAGGCATGTGAGAACTTCAACTTACCTACTAACAAGCAGCTGCTAAAAAAAGGGCAGTGATAAAATGAAAAGTAAACAAAGGAAATAAATTTAGAATCTAAGAATCAGGGGATTGGAAAGAAGGTCTGAAGGGAATTCTCAGGGTGATGGTGAGAAACGAACCCCAGGACATGTCAAGATTGAAATCATAGGGAGGAAAGCTTTGGGAAAGATGTGATCAAGAACTGACATATATACGCTAATATGTATGAAACAGAAAACTCAGGAGAACCTGCTGTAAGCCCAGGGAACTCTACTCAATGCTCTGTGGTGACCTAAATGGGGAGGAAATCCAAACATGAGGGGATATATGTATACATCCAGCTGATTCACTTCACTATGTAACAGAAATGGACACAACAATGTAAAGCAACTATGTAGTTACTGTTGCTCAGTTGCTCAGTTGTGTCAGACTCTTTGCAGCCCCATGGACTGGAGCATGCCAGGCCTCCCTGTCCTTCACCATCTCCCAAAGTTTGCCCAAGTTCATGTACATTGCATGGGTGATGCCATCCAGTCATCTTATCCTCTGATCCTTCTCCTTCTGCCCTCAATCTTTCCCAGCATCAGGGATTTTTCCAATGAGTTGGCAGTTTGCATCAAAAGACCAAAATACTGGAGCTTAAGCTTCAGCATCCATCCTTCCTACAAATATTCAGGGTTGATTTCCCTTAAGATTGACTGGTTTGATCTCCTTTCTCTCCAGGGGACTCTCAGGAGTCTTCTCCAGCACCACAGTTCTAAGGCATCAATTCTCTGGCATTCTGCCTCCTTCAAGGTCCAGCTCTCACAACCGTATGTGACCAATGGGAAGACCACAGCCTTGACTATATGAACCTTTGTCAGCACAGTAATGTCTGTTTCAACACATTATCTAGCTTTGTCACAGCTTTCCTGCCAAGGAGCAAGTTTCTTTTAATTTCATGGCTGCAGTCCCCATCCTCAGTGATTTTAAAGCCCAAGAAGAGGAAATCTGTCACTACCTCCACCTTTCCCCCTTCCATTCGCCATGAAGTAAAGGGACTGCATGCCAAGATCTTAGTTTTTTAATATTTAGTTTTAATCTGGCTTTTTCACTCTCCTCCTTCACCCTCATCAATAGGCTCTTTCGTTCCTCTACAGTAAAGAACTAAAGAGGAACTAAAGCAACAATACCCCAATCAAAACAAAATAGAACAACAACAAAAAGAACATAGGCTTGACAAAATACAGACAAGCTTTTCAAAGCCTAAAGGTGAGTTACTTTTTGATAGAAGGATGGGTACAGACTGGTCATAGATGTAGAAAAAACCAAGCAAGCAAATGAAAAAACAAATGATCAATTCCAGATTGGGGAGGGTTTTACATGAAAGGAAATAAATATAATTTTATTATACTATAGAGGGCAGCTGGAAATAGTTATGATACTGATAACTATCAAACCAATATTTACGATGAAACAATATATAGAGTGACGTCAGAGAAGAAAAGTATCTGTACCAGAGGAAAAAATCTTGAGTTGGAGGGAGAGAGTGGTAAAGAAAGAAGATAAAATTTTCATCTTTCCATTGTGGACAAGCAGTACCTATTTTGGGGGGGGGGCACCTATTAAGTATCCAATAAAATTCTCAAGCTATTTAGATATATGGAGATGAGTACAGAAAGATCAGTCCTGGTGAAGACTCTTGAGAGTCCCTTGGACAGCAAGGAGATCATACCAGTCGATCCTAAAGGAACTCAACCCCAAATATTGACTGCAAGGACTGATGCTGAAGCTGAAGCTCCAATACTTTGGTCACCTGATGCAAAGAACCGACTCACTGGAAAAGACTCTGATGCTGAGAAAGATTGAAGGCAGGATGAGAAGGGGTGACAGAAGATGAGATGGTTGGATGGCATCACTGACTCAATGGACTTGAGTTTGAGAAAACTGTGGAAGATGGTAAAGGACACGGAAGCCTGGCACGCTGCAGTCCATGGGGTTGCAGAGTTGGACACAACTTTAGCGACTGAATGACAACAAGAAAAATACCAAATGCAACTGGTTTGGGAATAGGTAAGCAGGGTACTTTTCTCTAATATTTCTAAAACTATTAGCATTTTCAACTCTGTACTGTATTACTTTAATATGAATAAATATGAAGTAAAAAATTAATAGTGCTTTTGCTTTCAGCCTGTTGTGCAAATGTATCAAACACTGGTTTTAATCTTCAAGAACAGGAGCTGTTTAACAGTCTGCTCCACACTATCCTTTGGGGTGAGGAGGGTTGCGGGGAGAGGAGAGCGGTAAAGACTGTTTTGAAGACCAGAGTCACTTTTTATAAGAAAACAGCATAAAGACAAATTGTCAAGTAACTTCTGTTGGAAGTTTTCAAAGATATAATTTCCAAAATTTCATTGTTTCTTTCAAAGTCAAGTCAGGTCATTTTTATGCTGACAACTTGATACATATTAGCATTTCCCAGTTCATTTATCAGAGTTGTTTTAAATAAAGTAACAACAATAACAACAAAAAGCACAACATATCTCCAGTATGTATAAAAGAGATTATTGTTAGCCTCCAAAGAGAAAAAAGGAAAGAACAAAGTAAGAAAACTTTACTTAGGCAATAGTAGTTTTGCTTACAATACTACCTGTGCATAAGAAATAAGTACCAATACTTTTGAAGTGAAGTGAAAGTCACTCAGTCATGCCCGACTCTGCAACCCCATGGACTGTACCCTGCTTTTAACACACCTCATTTCAAACTCCTGGTCATCTTCAAATTAATTACAAAAGGTTATTCAAACTACCATAAATACCATTCAATTTTCCTCAGAATCAATTAAGTTTAACATTTCTTTTGAATTCCCAGGTAGTTTCATTACTCTGTGTGTGTGTGTGTTGTTTACCTGATAAAAGGAAAGTTAGTTTCTTGATTCTGATTTGTAACCTCCCCCAAACATACAAAGACCTCAAGATTTCCTGTTTCTCACATGTTCCAGTCAACCCAAGGAAAATCAGGAGAGCTTACTACAGGTATTTAAATGACAGCTCTATACTTGGATTGTGTTTAGGAACTAACATTTTATACAAGAATATAGAAACCTGTTTTAAAGTAGACTAATGGCTTTTTTTAATTCAGAAGTATGATTACAAACATTGAAACATCTTTTCATTTATATATCAGGCATCTAAGGGAAGCTAGCAAAGATCCTGCCAAAGAAGCAATCCAAATTTCACACTCTGAGTAACTGGGCTGGATCAAGTTTTCAGATATTCCAGTGCCATTTGTACTACCAAACTTCAAAATCTTTCCACTTGCAACAATGGCCAAGTGAACATGGTGACTTGCCAAGCTAAAGGTAAAGCAATTACATTTTCCATCCAAGTTTGAGAGTTCAAAGATCTAAAGAAACCCAGGTCTTCTTGGATACATGCTTTCTCAGATTTTTGGTAGCTATGAAACTGAGCCCCACTAAAAGCAAATTCTTTTACCAACTCTCTATCCAAAGCTTTGTTCCCTTTCTTGTCCCCTCTGACCTCAATCCCCGGGGAACTGAACAGTAATCAACCAGAGTCAGATGACTAAAATTGCTGTGGCTGATGACATAGTTAAAGCACTAAAGTGGTTATCACAGACATTGTTAACAGATTGTTTCTCCAGGGCAAGATGAGCTCACAGAGCCTCAAGCCACGGACCACCTGGCCAGAGTTGTAAACCAGAGACATCCTGACTCCCATAACTGTCACAGAACTGTTACAAGATGATGACTAACCCTAGCTTCTTTATTCTTCTCCTTTAAGAAACTCCCAACTCAAAGGTCAAGTTGAAGTGGATCTGAGGCTTGGTGGGCCGCAATAAATCCTTATTTTTCTGCAATCTCCTGCTTTCAGAGTTTGGCCTTCTGTACCTTGGGTACTCAAGTCCTTTGCTCAGTTACAGCTACACAAGGCAAAGATTTGTCCAAACCGGTTGCTTTTCAAATATAATACACTGTGTTCCTTTCAAGTTTAAAGAACAAATGGATCATACCTGTTGTTCCAGAAGTAAAAATATAAAGATAAGGAGTCTTGGTGTTTGAGATGGCATGGTGGCTGCGTGGCACCTGACAGTCAGATGCTGTGTTCAGTTTTTCTTTGAGTGAAGATATGCCTTGTGGAACAGAGTCTTTCATTGCCCAAATGCTGATACCTTCTGGGAGGCTTGGAAGGATGTCTTCTATAGTTTCTAGAAAATCTAAAAACCAAAGGATTAGGAATAAGTAAATAAGACATAAATCTCAAACCACTCACCCTGTGCATTCTTTTGCCTGTTGGAACAGGGATGAAATGTAAATACAATGCCAACTTCCTTTTCACATTGGATAAGTAACATCCTAGCCATTTTATGATTCTGTTTCAACATGACCAATTTAAAGGAAAATCTAGTTATTACCTGATTTCATCAATGCAAAAAACCCAATTCAAACTGCAATTTGGAGATCCCACTATCCAGGCTGTGTTCCACCCCCCCCTCCCCGCCCCCAGTTTTTAAATAAAACTCTGTTTCTGTAATTTGTCTTAAAATTTAAATTCTGGACACTGCCCTGAACATTCTTTCTGAAATACAACTCAGTATCTCATTATTGTAAAAAGCCATCTGTCTGTCACTCCTCAGTTCCACTGTAATTCAACAATCCAGGAGAAACATCTGACTGCTCTGGAAGCACAAGATTCCAAATTATGGATTCACAAGAGGCTGCCTTAGATGCCATTTCAGAGTGAAAAGTTAAAGGAGAAGATTAGAGATGCTCTTTCCTCTGGATCAGAATTATTAAAGGTAAAAGGTCTTTGAAAGCAAAAGAATGCTTTCCAGAAAAGGTGGCAGGATTCACAGTGCACAGTAGCAGTGGGATCCAAGGCCTCATTAGAACCAGCATCAAGCAAAAAAAGAAGATAAAAGAGTAGAAAACTGCAAACGCGGGTGTCTTCAGGCCGGAAGAGCTTAGGGGTCTTCACAATCTCAAGGGTCTGGGTTGAAATCCAGGCTAGAGAAAGGCAAAGGGATACTCATCTCAAGAATCAGCTACTGTACAGATAACCAAAGAATGATTGTGTAGGGGAGACTGTTGAGGTACTCTGGGAGACTGAACTAGACCTTCTTTTTTTTTTTTTTCCAAGCATCACTGACATATAATTATCTTTTTTTTTTTTTTTTTTACATGTATTCCCCATCCCGGTCCCCCCTCCCACCTCCCTCTCCACCCAATCCCTCTGGGTCTTCCCAGTGCACCAGGCCCGAGCACTTGTCTCATGCACCCAACCTGGGCTGGTGAACTGTTTCACCCTAGATAATATACGTGTTTCAATGCTGTTCTCTTGAAACATCCCACCCTCGCCTTCTCCCAGAGTCCACAAGTCTGTTCTATACATAGGAGTCTCTTTTTCTGTTTTGCACATAGGGTTATCGTTACCATCTTTCTAAATTCCATATATATGTGTTAGTATACTGTAATGGTCTTTATCTTTCTGGCTTACTTCGCTCTGTATAATTGAACTAGACCTTCTTAATCTGATCTTCAATGTAGGAGAAACTGTCATCTCTCCAGGAAGGCAATACTGGTAGAAAAGGAGGGAGTTGGAAGGTGGGTGCAAATCCTTGAGGAGGAAATATTTAGTGTGAGAGTACCTGGCACTCTATGGGACACAAAACAAGCAGGCCATCATCATTCCTGGAAGATGTATAAGCGAGTAAGGCCTCATTTTTTTCCCCTCCAGAGTAGAGAGACAAAGTTCTCAATATTCTTTAAGTTCTTTTAAAATGTAATGCTCCCTTCCTTTAAGATGGATCTTTAACCACTTCCCTGTTCTACATGGGTGCTGCAGCTTTATTTTCATGGTCCTACAACACATCATACTTTTTGAGATAAACGGGATTTCTGAGTGCTACATTATTTATCTTAAAATCTATGTTAACATCCACAGGGACATTAAGCAGTGGCCTTTTGGAGTTAATGTAAGGAATGCCTAAGATCACCGGCAACCACCAGAAGTTATGAAGAGGATAAGGAAGACTTTTTTTCTTAGACCCTTCAGAGGGGACATGGACCTGCAGACACTGTGATTGTGTATTTTTAGTCCCCATATCTGAAAGGGAATGAATTTTTGTATTTTAAGCTTACCCAGTTTGTGTCATGTTATTACAGCAACCCTGGGAATCTAACTCAACCAAGGTCACAAGTTGGTGAATAGAACTGTTAGTCTAACCTAAGTCTAACTAACTCTAAAGTCTATATATTACCTCATAAATGAAGCCAATGATAAAAAACACAACTAAATGTAAAATATACCCTGGTCAGAATGGTAAAGTCCACATAATTATGGACCTGTCCATCTAAGTACATTTTTAAAATAATTTTTAAACAAGAATTAAAAAATAATCACTAGATATATTCTATTTTAAAGTTAAATTCAGGGTGCTGCATTAAACATTTCTGGAAAATGTAAAGCAGTGTCTGGTTCTTTCAAAAAGCCATCTGCCAGCCCTGACTTAGTTCTACTATAAATACAAAACATTTGGAAAAAAACTCATGATTTACATCCTCAAAATCTATAATCCAGATTGATTACAACGAAGCAGCAAGATAAATACATCAAATTGAACTATGAAATTCATAAGAAAACTAAGGAAACACAGAAAAATGGTAAGGAGTTGATATGTTAGGATTGGGGAGGCAAATTGGTGATTGAAATTTTTTGAGTTAATTTTTATTTTTTTAACAAATCCAGATAAAATAAGATGTCAGATTCCAGAGGAAAATCTTTTTCTGCTGAGCACACACAGCATATTGCTGTATACAGATTGCTTTGGTAAGAACGAGAAGTGAAAAAATCATAAGGAATGCTGGGGGAAGGATGAGTCATAAATAAATGAAAAAGCAAGACAAGCAAATGATTTGTACTTTGTATTTTCTCTTAATTTTTAGCACTAGATTTTGCTTAACTGATTCTTTCTGACACTTTGAATGTATAAGTAGAAGCCTGAACTGACCCATTTCATTCCCTTAACTTCAAATATGTCACCTGGAACTGTAAATTAACAAGACAAATTTTATATGTTCTTAATTATATGTGTAATAAATTGGCAAAATAGGTGCCAAGAAAGTTACAATATGATTAACTGTGGATCAAAATCTTTGTTGGAACTGTAGAGTCTAAAATATCATAATATTTACTAAGAGTGATGACCTTTACAAGAAAAAGGAAGTGAGTGGATTCCTAGGTATCAGAGGATATACAATTTAATCTCCTTCATACATTATCTTAATTATATGTGTAATAAATTGGCAAAATAGGTGCCAAGAAAGTTACAATATGATTAACTGTGGATCAAAATCTTTGTTGGAACTGTAGAGTCTAAAATATCATAATATTTACTAAGAGTGATGACCTTTACAAGAAAAAGGAAGTGAGTGGATTCCTAGGTATCAGAGGAGATACAATTTAATCTCCTTCATACATTATAATGAAATTGACTTAGATGAGACATTTAGAATTAACAAACAGAATTTTATCTAAATAAGTTATTTCTTTAATAGTGGTAGGAAATATGGATGAGGAGAGTGAAAATTGAGATAGAAACTTGAAAAATCCTGTAGGGGATAAAGGATCATTATTTACTTGTCATTGTTGGGCTTTCTTGATAAAATGGCAATTTTTAGTGTCACTTTGAAAGTAAATTTTAAATATTTATTCCTGCCAAAAAAATAGCTTTTGTTTAAATACTTCATGAAGACTTGGCTGTGTTTCGTGAAGATTTACTCTTAGTGAAGTGTCCCACCACTGAAAGCCACAGAACCGCAAGCAGCTCAGATGAATAATGGCTGTCCTACTCTACCCCTTCAGCAGCTGTGCCTGGCACACACCCATAGGGCTGGGCATGGAATGCGACTCATGGGATCCACTGTAGGTGCAGGTATTAACAGTAAATTACCATAGACAATTGAGACAGATGAAAATTCTATGAGACGTAACAAAGTCTACAACACAGGAGAAGACCGAATCTCTCTTTTTAAAGCAATAGATTCTTCTAAGAAATACACACTGTTTCTCACATGCACTGGTTTCGTGGGGTTGCAAGCATAAAAAGAGGTAAATTATGATCTCTGCTTATAAACATTTAGGACTGTTTGTACAAATTAATTTCTTGTTGCTATACCATTGCTATGTTTCATTCACATTTCTGAGACTATGAAATCAATGAGTAAAAATGCAATATATCCCCTGAATATACCATTAGTGTGAATTATGTTATTCATTCTGCATTAAAAACTTTTTTTAAATTGAGGTATAGTTGATTTACATCGCTGTGTTAGTTTCTGGTGTACAGTAAATGACTCAGTCATATATACATATATATTCTTTTTCATTATAGCTTATTATAAGATATTGAGTGTAGTTTCCTGTGCTAGCAGGACTTTGCTGATTGGCTGCTTTATATATAGTACTGTCCTAATATATCCCTTCCCTCCTTTCCCCTTTGGCAACTGTAAGTTTCTTTTCTATGTCTCTGAGCTTGTTTCTGTTTTGTAAATAAGTCCATTTGAATCTATTTGAATCACTTTTTAGATTCCACATATAAGTGACACCATATGACATCTGTATTTCTCTGCCTGACTTACAGACATTATTTTTAAATTATCCTGTGCTGGCTCCGTGGCTCAGCTGTGTCCGACTCTTTGTGAGCCCGTGGACTGTAGCCTGCCAGGCCCCTCTGTCCATGGGATTTTCCAGGCAAGAATACTGGAGTGGGTTGCTGTTTCCGACTCCATAAATTACTTTATTCTACATAAAACAAACTGATATTTTCAAAGGTAATTGCTCATAGCTCTTAAAACACTGGCAAACATTTAACTTTAAAATTTTATGCATTACTAAAACTATTATGAAATTCAACTACACAGGGTTAACATGAGGTTTCCATACTGCAAAGCAATATTTACACAGAAACCAAAGTGAAATTGTAGATCTCATCACACGCTCTTAACTACCAATCTGCTTCTTGACAGCAGGTCAATGGGTTTCTCACAGAACACCTGGGCAGGTGCTTAAGTAAGCTGTGTCCTAAAGCAACATATATAATGATGTAGATAACAATAGTTCTCATCAGGCCAGACACTCATCTCATCATGAACAATGTGTCAGTTACTTTTACAAATAATAGTTTACTGATAATAATAGCCCTAGGAAGTGCATAAG